TACTCTACGATTGCGTTTGCTGGAATGTTGGAAGCGTGATTAAAAAGGCAGGAAATCTAAAGACCAGGTCCCAGTGGCCGATGGACACAAAACGTATGCAAAAAGGACACAGCAGACGATCAAACTTTCGGGGGTTGCTCCATCCGTTTTCATCCGCTCCAGAAATTGACGAAAACAGAACAGAAAAGAACGAACATCTGAAGTATGTAGCGGGAATTTTCAATGGATGTTCATCGGAAGCCTAGTGGATGAAAGCGGATGGAAGTGGATGACAGCTCCGACAAACTCCAGACATCCTTCAATGTGGCAAATACATCCTAGATACAAATGCTTTGTCCGTTTTGAAAACTTTATATACGAGATGCATACGTTTACATCCTTTCTATTTCTGTGCTACTAACGATGTATAGACGTTCCATGTACCTTATCTTTCCTCCCTCTTTCCGTTTTCAGCTGGAGCGGATTTGAGTTGCGAGGATGCCCAGAGGATGCAGAGGGGATACAGTGGACGTTTAACGGATGATAACGGACATGGAACGTTTGGTGCTCGTAGATGTCGTGATTTACATCGTACACGGCAGAAAGTTCATCCGTTATAAAAGTTTTGTGCAGCTCAAAACTTTTTGCGCGGATGAAATCAAAGTGAACTGATGCTCGATGGATAGAGCGTATGAAACACGTATGCAGTGAGTACACAACGGATGCATGGCGTTTTCAAACGGAGGGCACGTTTATTCCCCGTTTTACATCCTCTTTGCATCCGTAAGTGCAGTGGGACCGGGCCTTTACCTGGCTCATTAGCATAATATAATCAAGCAGTAAATAAAAGGAAATAATCTGATTGGATAAAAAACACAAATTACATTATTTCCATAATGCTTATTCAGGGGCGCAGAGTTGATTTCTGCCATTTACAACTGCGTGAAATGGTGGTATGTTCACACATTCAGCATATTTCCAAGATGGCCACCGTTTGTGGCAGGACATTATTGAAAAGGTTTTTTAATCCATTTCTGCTATGTATAGGCTTGTAGCATGTTCCTGGAAGACTGTGCCGTGTTTTATCCATTAGGTAAATTATCCAACAATGAAAATTCCTCATCCGAGTTGCCCACTGAGCTAATATCGATTTTGCAGGAAATTAGCACATCTACTTGGTCGTTTGCATTGTAGTAGTTGAACTCCAGTCTGATTTTAAGACTTGGTGGCGCAATCGAGACTTACAGTTTATGGTGTCTGTCAGTTATAGATGCTTAAAAATGTGAGACTTACAACTTTTGAAAAGGTTAGTAATAAATTAAAAAGTAGAACAGAAATGTACGATATTAAATATAAAGCAGTATACAAAGAAATAAAAACAGGGACTGCAAATGAAATAGTATTACCTACTATAAAAAAATCTTCATGGCATAGATTATTTTATCAACTGACCCCAAGCTGCGTGTGGAAGGAGTTGTTCAGAGGAATGCTGTTGCGTTGGAAAAACAAACTATATTACCACTTAAACAATGTCGTGACCCGTCATTTACAACATCTCCAACATCTCCATTGAAAGAACTGGGAATAGTGATGTCAAAGAAGCTGGCCACATCGTTGTGTAAGTGGTGACATACTTTATGTTTCCAACGCAACAACATTCGACATGCTCGTTCACATTCAGCTTGGAAGTCAGTTGATAATAGCAAGTATTTCATTTACAGCCACGTCCCCATCACTATCATCCACGTTGCCACCACGCTGGAACGAAGCTCCTAGCCACATGCTTGCTACACTGTTACGACCTTTATGTATATATAGGAAAGATACTGAGCCTCGTCCATCAGCTCCAGTCTAGTACCCAAACATGAAACATAAAGAAAACTATAAAATGTTCTTGATTGCTTGACTTTTGGTTGTTCTCTGCTTTGAAAGTGAATGAGGCCAGCTGAGCATGCCGCGTCTTACGCCTGGTAGGCACATCACGGGAGCGTGGCGAGAACGTACACCGGTCTGACTACTAACCGCGAGATCATGGTGGGAATACTTTGCACGTAGCCATATCTTGGCCATGAGTGTAGTAAGATCATGTAGTAAGCGCTTAGTGTGGTCATGGCGTAAGCCCCACGCTGCCGTTATGCTCCCTTTGCCTTTATGCCAGAAATAAGCTTTTCTTTCCCAGGAAAATCGATATCAGCTCAGTGGTCATCTCGGATGAGGAAATTTCATCGTTGAATAATATACCAAATGGGTACGACACGGTACCAGCTTTCAGGAATGTGCTACTAGCTAATAGCCTATGTACCAGAATTGGACCCTGAAACCTGTAAATATCAACAAGTATATAAATGATAACAATGTGTTTAGAAAATGTTCTGCCATCTTGGAAATATGCTAAATTGGTGAACATACGCCCATTTTACGCAGTTGTTTATGACAGAAATCGAATCTGCCTCCCCGAAAACATATATATTGTCGCCAATCATCTGATTTTCCCGCCAAAAATATCCACCATCTTGGAAATGTGCTAAGTATATGAATATGTGATCATTTTACAAGGTTGTAAATGTCAGGAATGGAATCTGTGACCCCGAAAACATATATATTGATACCAAACACTACTACTTAATCGAAATCAGTACATCGTCCGATTTTCCCGCTAAAAATGGTCACCATCTTGGAAATATCTTCATGACGTGATGGAAAAAAAATCTGAAATATAGTCATGACCCCTGCCAATATTACTACATTGCCAAATCACAGTTGATATGTCGATAACATTATAAATAAAGTGAAAATAAAAAAAAAATAAGTTGGAATATTATCGCAAAATGGCTACCCTCAAATAATGGCCTCCCATACTATGAAGACATACTCAGAAAAAATGTCAACATTGTTTTTTTTGTCATCAAAACCTACAAAATAATGCTTATTCCACGATTTCTACCCAAAAAGCCGACAGATTTACATTAAGGATCGGACTAATAGTTTTATATCCACCACTATTAGTAATTGTGACCCCCCACAGCATACTGGGTCACAATGAGGAAATTTTGAAAATTGAGTTATTGTTATTTTCACATTCTCCAACTCATTACCTTCAATTTGATGTATAGTTTGTTTGAATTGGGCAAAAATTGACTGAGCTGTGTCCATTAGAAGCTACCCAACTCACAAAAGTAAGTTTTGAGAAAAAGCAAGTCAAAGATTTGGTATGTTGTAAAACAAAATCCCATAGCAACCAGGCCATTTATCAACTGTTTTGTCGTTGAATATATCTTTCCATGGGTTTTCAGGGGTGCTGAAGACGAAAATCGTAGTAAAAATTTGATCCGACTATTTCCGCAATTTATTTGCTATATTTTGTCGTTTAATATGTTTTTTATTTAATATGTTTTATTTATTTATTTTCGTGCTGATGACGAAAATCGTAATAAATGCACTCCTTTCGTAACAAAACATCCACAACACATACGGCATAATATTCACATGATATTGTTATACTGAAGAACAATCTACTATACATTAGTAGTCTGTTGTGTATAATATAACTTTAGTGAGTTTAACTCAGTTAATCTCATCAATTAATTAGCACCTTAGTGCCAGCTAGTGGTCAGGAGATTAAGATTGTTGATTGTATAATCATCAAAGAAGCCGCCACAGCTGTACGCGTGTTCATTTAACACGTGAATTAAAATACGATTTTGCGTGTACGATAGGTCTATTATTATTTTCAGGTACCGTGACGTTATCAAAATATGAGTCCCAATAGAAATGTCAATTTCATAGTCAAGAAATGCTTACGTTTACTTTCAAGCATTTTGGCTTTGATGTAAATATCAACATTATTCAGAGGATACTCAATGGCAGACTCGAGAATCGTCGCATTTTGGCTCGTTGGTCATTCTCATTTTTTCAACCCATTGTGATAAGAGAATTTTAAACAATAATATCCCAGATGCATTCCTTACTTTGCATGCCGTATGAAGAAGCGACGGTAAACGGAATTCAGCTATCAATCCAATTCTCTTCGATAAGAAAATTATTGGCCATTTTGTTTATTTCCATTTAAGGCATATAGATTATTTTTTTAAAGATGATACGAGATATCAAATAATCACCACTTGATTAATTATTCGGAGTAAATAATGAGTTGTCGACGGCTTTATCATTGACCCGTGACAGTTGATTAGTAATAGTATTACTCAATGACACACACCCGCTTGTCGATTAATTTTCATCATCAGCCACATGGTTTCGATTAACACTCAACGGCAATCTATACGATCAGAATTATTTTTTTTTTTCTGCCAAATATTATCGCCAAAACCAAATATTTATCGATAATGTCTTGCAACGTGGTGTCTGGGCCAATCAGCAAAGGAGTTGTGTGGACAGCATGGCAACAGGCGGAGTTTATTTATATTTTTGGAGGGTTTTAAAACGCGATTGTATCCGTTCAAAATCAATTCGACAATATTTTGATCATATTTATAAACTAGAGATACTTCGCTTTACAACGATGCCAATTGTTATGCAAGAGGAATGACCGGTCGTCCCGCTGCGAGCGAAGAAAAATAACTAATTTCGCCGAGAATTTTAAGAAATAAGACTGATTTAAGATATGGTACTCTTATAAAACGTTCAAATACAGGTGTTTTAAAATGTTTTATGGCTATTTTGATCTTGGGATTATGGAAAATCCTTTAATTAGCTCCAGGGAGATAAGCTATTGTCTAGTAAACTGACTTAGAGAGATAAAGGAGAAGTTACTTAATTAGGTCGGGGGGTCAATAGCTGCATCACAGGGATAGTTTCAATTTCCAATGATCTGTATACGCGAGACCTGGGTTTTTTATCCCATTAGATCAAAAAGACACCTTTCTTTACATGGCCCTGCTCCACAAACAAAAAGAAACCAGGCTAGAAAATCCTGAAGAATTTTATTGACCAACACTGGCATTTAACAAACAAGGGACATTACTCATCAAGCATCGATAGCTACGATTATAATAAGGCCTTACCTGTCTTTTTAGGTTGAAATTGTGGAGCATCCTTTAGAGTAAAAATATCACCATTGTCTTTATCTTCACATGTAGCATTAAGGGTACTTTTATCAATTGATTCGCTGCAAAGTAAATAGAACTCAATTACAGACAAAAATACCTAGTCATCAACATCCTCTGTGTTATTGGTAATCAACAACAAAATACAAGTTACAAGCTACTTATGCTAAGTGAATATACAGTTGACATAAATTGAGTTCAATTACAAATTACCACCACTGGCACTACCATCAAATTACTGAAAACAGTTCTAGAAGATGCAAATTTGAACAAAGTTCCATGAAGTTTCGTCAATATATCTTGAATGGTTTCTGAGAATAATCAAAGTCAAATGTGTTGCTTAAACAAAGATAGGATGCCAGACAATGAAATATACGCACACAACAGCTAAATCGTCCGAGCGGTTGACAAAGGTTGTCGCATATTTTTTCTTTTGTAGTTAAATGATCCTAGTTCAAGCCCTGATAAGAGTAGGCCGTAGTGCTGGTGTCTGGGCAAAATTTCCCTCATAGCACACTGTATGCTGTATGCCCGTCTTCATTAGCCCAGTTGGAGCAGAACAGTAGGATGTTAAACCCCATATCATTTGATTTATTAGTCTCTATCATCCAGAAAAATATTCTACGAATATTAGTCTGGATGTGTTGTCAACATTTGAGAAAAATTGGCTAGATAATCCGGTCTATTACATTGTCATAAACAACGTCTAAGGGAGTTAACTTAAAACAAGATGTTTACGCCCATGAAATTAATTTAAGAATGTCATTTCAAAAAATCCATTTGATTGCATGCTAGTTCAATATCTAACACTCTATGTTGAAGACTAGGCGGTTCTGGGTGACCGAGACTATTGATTTATTACAAATGACAAGTGCTATATGAAGTATTTATGTGGTCTTTAGTGAAAGAAAACATTGTTGTGGCTACCATTAATGATTTGAAGGTAAGATATGATATGACATTGATTAGTAATTTTTTAAAGCAGTTTACCAGTGCAACCAAACCGTGACCGGTTAACTGAGTAGCTGTTTAGTTTACATCCTTAATAAAGATAGGTTGCCAGGCAACGAAACATACGCCCACAGCAGCTAAATTGTCTGAGCGGTCGACAAGTGTTGACGCATATTTTTTCTTTTGTAGGTAATTGGGGGCATTTACAAGACAATTTCATACAGATCAGATTATAATTTTTGTTGTTTGAGGGTTGACAAGGTTCTACAAACTGAAACCAGTGGCTGCCACATGTGTATTAATTCTACAAGCCTTCTGTGTTTATTGCCCGAGATAATCGCACTACCCTTCAACCCAAAATGCTTTCTATAGATCCCATATTATGTAATATATGATTACCCCACCCTCACTTTACAGCAGGAATTTGGAAAAATGACGTCCTTTTGATTGGGACTAAATGTTAGGTGTGAATTTGATATTATATGTGTTTAAAATTGTGTGAAATGATGAAACAACGATATTTAATCACAATATTTAATTTTTATTCAGTTTCATCTCCAATACATAACCTTGGAGTGCCAATCATGCCAACAGTTTGCACCCGGTTTACCAATACACAGAAACATCTTGCAATAAGTACACCAATATACAGTTCTGGATTTGGTAGGCAGGTCTTTGTCAAGTGTATTAGGACAACTCAATTTAGCCCTTCTGTATTTCTCTGTGCAAACAACACATCTATTGTTGGTTGTTGCATGTTCCGCTCGTTCGCACACATGTTGTCCAACATCACCAAGCCGAATTTCCTGATCTGTATCCGACCGACGTCTACCCTTCTGTGTCATGTTTCTGACAACGCCAACAAGTTGGTGGCACAATTTCTCTAAAAAGAAGTGAAACGTAAAATTTCTATGAGCAGACTGCATATGCGACTTATAATATCCTTGAATCACATAAGCATTGTAAGCAGCCCACATGAAAAACTTCATGATTAGTCGTCGTGGCCATTTATAATGTCGTCGACACTTTTGGAGACGCGTCATTTGGTCATTTTTATCGGTGCCTCCCATAAACTGGTTGTATGCTTTCACCACCACTGGACACGGAACCGGGACCCTCCTATGTTCTTTTGCATCATACCTGGGTACAGAAGTAAATGGGGCATCCACATACACAGACGACACAAAATAAATAGGCCTTTTGTCCATCCACACCAGAGCAGACACATTACCATTATAAACTATCTCGCAGTCACCTCTGTGCATTTGTTTATTTGTTCTCTTCAGGAATTTAGGAAATTCCTTTCTATTTGTCATTGCAGTTCCGCACATACCAATACCTTTGTTCAGTAAATATTCAGCTAACTCGACAGATGTATAAAACCTGTCCATGAACAAAATGTAGTTTTGATTTTGGAAATCCTGAGTCATTCTAACAACTAAATTTCCTGTGATTCCTAAATTATCGACAGTCAGCGCATCTGCTCGTTTACCAGTATACACTTCTGCATTCATAATATAGCCATGCTTACTGTCGGTCAATAAAAAAGTCTTCAAACCCCATTTTATTGGTTTGTCTTTTATATATTGTTTGATTGACAATGAGTTTTTTGTCGGAATCATGCCTTCATCCAAGGATAATTCGCAGTCTGGAACGAAGTGATGTTGAAAGTTGTCAATTAAATAATTAAAAATTGGTCTGGACTTATAGATCTTATCCATTTTGTCTACAGTTGGGTCCTCTTCATTTACACAATGCAGCATAGACCATATCGCCAAGAACCTGTCTTGTGACATAATTTTCGGAAAACCTGGAGTGGCTGTTAGAAGATTATCTTTAGTTTTCCAGTACTGTTCATATCTATCCTTATGTACGAGTGATTCAATAGTAATTCGACAACCAAAAAAAGCCTTCATTTCATTTAAAGTTACCTCTGTCCAGTTCTTTGCCACATAATTATTTGGTTTGGTAGTTTTCACATGAGCAGCTTGGCGGTTTGTTTCATTAACTAATAGTTCCCACACTGTATCGTCCCAAAAGATCGAAAAAAAATCTAATGGGGTACTATCTTTATTAATATGAACTGGTATATTCCTTGGTCCTGTTGGAAAATTTGGCCTGAAGTGCTGTGATACAAAACCAGTCATATTCAATCTCCACGGTGGTACAATATTCATACTATGAAGTCTGCTTATACCGCGATCACGTCACATTCCATTATTTCTGTCACCGGCCATATCGGGGTGCTGAAGAGGCTGTAGATCAACATTATCATTATTATTTACATTAACAACTTGTTTACGAATGTTTATTATGTTATCATCGCTGTCATTTTCTTTATTTTCGTCAGAATCTGAATCATATTCACTTTCAAAGTCGCTCTCATTGCCGTAATCCGAACCATTAATATCTTCGTCATTATCGCCCATTATAAGAGCTAGCACATCCGTTGTATTTAAACGTTTAGAACACATGTTATATCGAATAATTTGCTAATATCTAAATGTAAACAATCTAGAAGGAAGTCACTGTTACCAACAGACCCGGAGCAAACGGTAAACTGTATTTTGATTGGCTAAATTATTTTGATTAAGGCCGCGATTCAAACGACACGCCCCAAGCCGCAAAACCAACATTTCGGGTATATGCGATACAACGTCAAGCCGGTTTTGCGGCATTTCGGGTTCTAAGAGTTAAATGACACATATAAATTTCATACAGAATGGCAGATAACTTTAGATGTTAAAGTGTTCACAAGGTATGACAAAGTGAAACAAGGGCCATCACTAATTCAAATAATGCATATAAATTTCCCAAAGATCGGATGATAACTTCTGGCGTTAGAGCATTCACAAGGTTCAATAAAGTGAAAAAAGGGCCATAACTCTAGATGTAATAAACGGAAATTGCTGAAATTCATTAGGCTTCTTCGTTTCACTAATTTAAATAATGCATATAAATTTCACAAAGATCGGATGAAACAAGGGCCATAAGTCTAGACATAATAAACGGAAATAGTCCAGTCAATTTATGAAAAAAAGGGGGTCAACCCCCCAAAAATTGCAAGAAAAGGTTTTTTGATGGTTTTTGGTAGCGTTGGGTGTACTGAATGACATCCTAAAAGTTTACCAAAATTGGAGTACCGGAAAGTTCCAAATTTTGAGGGTAAAGTTCGGGATTTAAGCCATTTTCCTTTAAAAGGTACAACTTCAGACAAACAAAAAGTAGTCAATTTTTAAGAGAAGCACATGAAACTGAGGGCTTGCATTAGGTTGTCGGGGTCACACTTTTATATGAGGGCATGGTTTTCATAGATGTCTGGTGCTCCCTTGAACCATTTTTGGGGATTTCATTACCTGAGAAACATGCTGCCCAGAATCCAAATTTTATAAAAGGGCATAACTCTTCACAGTTTTATCATAAAATAGCAATTTTGGTCTCAAAATTAATATTTTGGGGGCCTTTATTTCATTTGAAGATATGCCCAGTGGTGTCAAGTGGTTCCTTATACCATTTTCGGGAATCCACTACCCAAAACATGTTGACGCGAACCCAACTTTACATATATTCGTAACTCTGCACTTCTTCATCACCTACTGGCATATTTGGTATATACACGTTCTGGGGTCCCTACACCCAATAACCTAATGTCCTGAAAGATGAGTGAAGTAAGACACGAAAAAAGATGCGCAAGAAATTATTTACCAATTTGTTCTTCATAGAATGAATGGTTATGCCGTCTCTATGATTTCTAAGACACATGAGGGTGCTTTTCGTTAACTGCTGGGCTATACCACATTATAGTTTGCATCACATTTACTGTTATACATTCATAGGACCTTAAGGTAACGCCTGTGCAGATCTAGATGTGGTGAATAGGGTGGGGGTGGTTCCAAACCTAGGGTGCCATCCATAATCCCACCCCACAATGAGCATAGATCCCACCCCACAAAGTGCATCAATCATATTGCCTATATAGTTGTTTGTGGTTCGTTATCTTAACAGAAAGTAGTTTTATTCAAGTAGCTAAGTCTCTAACATTGATGTTGTGATCTTACTGGAAAAAGATGGGCTTTTGATATCCAATATTTAAGACAAAATAAACATTTTACCATTGGTACACGAATCATGTACCAAAATGCGCTTCAGCCCCAGTTGTATCAAGAGCCTCGAGGGACAAGGCTAGACACATTGCACCAAATCAAACGGCGTATGTAGACTGGAATAACCAGACGCTAGAAATTTGCACTCGCTTGAGACTGCTGGCTTATTTCGCCGAACATAACTGATTTGAAATTGGAGTAAAAACGGAAACCATTGAATGTAAAAAAGTTTATATACATTCATATTACAGTATTATATGCATTGCCACCCATATATAACACTGAGAATGGCTTTTGAGATCATTGCTATGGTCAAATTCTTGTGAATGAGAGGATTAGACAGTCAATCGGACAGAATCTCGAGATCTGCCTATCAATTATGTCTGTTTTGTGAGAGTTGACAGAACAGTAGCACAGTCTGTTCCCCCATGACCCACTAACTAGTGGTACTACTAACTGGGAGATTCACTATAACCATAAATATTGATTTGACAAATGTCGGTCATCTTGGAGTTAACTTATTTTTACCGTTTTAAGGGACCAGCTAATACTAGGCTACTTGCTATATCTCCAAATGATAGAATGAAACCAAGAGCATTCATTTATACATTCATTATACATTAATTGGGTCTTAAAAATCAACCATTATAGATTTTTTGTGTACCTTGGTTAAACAAATGTCAGCCATCTTGGATTTTACCCGATTTTACTGCTTTAAGAATGACCCCCCAAAACATTAATTTACACGTTCATATTACAATTATTGGATTTTCTTCTACATTGATTTGACGAATGTCGGCCATCTTGGATTTTACTTATTTTTACCGCTTTAACCCTTAACTGGTCGACGTCATTTTGACGTTATGACGTCAAGTGGTCAGGCTAAATAAAGGCTGACGTGAAATATTTTGTATGCCTATTTCAATCGACTACTGCTGAATAATTATAAGTGATAGACTCTTGACACCAATAAAAAAGTTGCTGGGGATATGTTGATCTATAATTTGCAAATCATTCTAAATCTTTTTCATCAGAAATATCGTCTTCAGAATCGGTGTCATCGATATAATCTGATTCGGAATAATTCATAAGTATTTCAACCACTTTGAGCGTCTTTAACGTTCCCGAAACCGTTAAATTACGTTTTTCGTCAAAAAATGTTCAACAAATACAAATTATGGTACATAATAACATTTGTGTGATTCAGCCAATCAGAATCTTCATAATCATTTGTTTCAGACTAAAGACGCCATTAATTAGGTCACAGGATCTACACACTTGAGACAACGGGTTCTACGGCACTTTAGCTAATTGCTTTGCATGTGTTTGTTTGGGGAAAGAATTGTGCTTTTATTTAGTGTTGTCTGCAGTGCTTAATTTCAACTTCTTTGCTTTGCTTACTTCAGAGGTAACTTTATTATAACGTTTTCGGTGCAAACTTTTATTTTACAAACTTTTATTTTACGTAATTAGTTCCGTGGGGCTACGTGTTGTTAAACTTTCTCATCCCTTTCACAGCATCTGGCACGATCCCTTTGTTCTGTTCAAATGGTGATCCCATGATATGGCAGTATAGTTCGCAGTTTTCAAACTTGTTGTGTTTACTCCAGAGGTAACGTGGATACAGTGTCGGTTACAAAACTTTGTGTACGTAATTAATTCTGTGGTGCTTCGTGTCGTTTAAACTTTTACGCGCGCATACCATTTGCTCGATTCCTTTGTTTCGTTTTTAAAATGGCGGCTCTGTGATATGGCAGTTTGTGCTTCGCATGGCACGATGTTTGCGTCGTTAGATTTGGATATGGATACATTTCCTTTTGTTCCTATCAAGATAACTCTGTTTGGTTCGTCGTATATCAAACGTTTAATTCCACAATTACGCGGTGTGCATTCTAATTTACATTTGCCACTCTATCTGTGTTCTATTTCGTGTTTCGGTTATGGTGGGTTGTGCGTTTTGAACGACAGATTCCAGCGATTGTATAAGGGCTTTGACCGTTTTTTTAAATACAGATATCGTATTTCTTCATTTGGGTTCGAACGATTTATGTGATTCGTCAGTGTTGCCGGACATCTTTGCACATGCCATTGTTGACTTTGCTTTGGACATTTTAAGTACGTTCTGTCCCCAAGGTGTGATAATATCGCAACTGATAAAACGTCACGTGGTTGTTGATGAACAATATAATGATCATGTTTTTCAAACTAATTATCGTTTGTCATTGTTGTGTCAACATTTCCCTAACGTAACTTTTTGGAAACACAGATCGGGCTTATGTCAGCCAGTTGCATATATTTATGATTCGCAGGGCATTCACTTGTCGGATTCTGTCGGATGTATTTTATTTATGAAAAGCATCCGAGACGCTTTGCTAAGACACATGAGATGGTATCAATTGCTGTCACCCACCACTTCATTATCACAAGAACTACCCAGGCCTTGAAAGACCAGCTAGCACATGGGTTGCCGTTTTCTTCCCAGTTTGTTGTTGTAAGCTTAGTTGTGCAAAAAATTTATGATTGGCTTATTGTGTTCTCGTAAGCTCATGCTAGCCAATTGATTGGGCTTTCCGATGGAAATAGTGCTTTTCTGCATAACTTTGGCTTTCCCTGCAACACTCTTGCCATTAAAATGAAACTTTTGCTTTCCCTGTGGAATGTTTGCTTTTTCTACGGAAGTTTGTGCTTTCCCTGTGGAACTTCTTGCTTTTCCCTATGCAATGTTTTGCTTTTCCTTATGGAACTTTTTGCTTTTCCTTATGGAACTTTTGCCTTCCTTATGAAACTCTGTGCTTTTTCCTATGATGGAACTGTTGCTTTCCTGTGCAACGTTTGTTTTTCTGTGGAACTTTTGTTGCCTTTGTTTTGCTTTCAGGTTTTCTTGTATTATAGTTTGTTTTTTCAGAATCATGCCTAAACGCAGATGTCCGTCCAGCGATTCGGAACAGGAGGGTACAGATTCCTCTGCGCCGATGACATCAGCAGAAGACCGCCTAACAGAGATTCTGGTTAGGAAATTACTGAAGAAAGGCACGGTGGTGAAACAGACAGGCAAAAGGGGGAAAGTCCATTCAGCATCTGTCAAGAGACCAGGCAACTAAGGTGCCCACCCCTCCTTCGTCAACAAATGTGGTACTTGAACAGGAGTCACTAGAAGATACAGCAACGCCAGCAGTTGTTAATGCATCAATGTCAACCGTTACTACTGCATCAACATCGGCTTGGTCACCTGAAGATACCCCAGCTGCTCCAGGCCCGTCAGTGTTTTCAATACTGGCTGATGACCTATTTAATACAGGTAACGACACTCCCTTGATATCGCAAGCGCCCATACCTCCAACATCAATTTCCAGCCATGTGTCGGATAAAATTAAGGCCGATATTTGGTTAGAGAAATTTATTGATTTTTCTTTATTGTTACCTGGATTGAATTCCAGTACACTTTCATTAAATATTTCTGAAGGGGATGATAGTTCGACCTTTCAGATCTCATCATCCCCAAAGGTAAAATCGATCAATTTTGAACAATGGCGTATAGCCTTTTTAATTTTTATGGATATTTAACTGTCAAAAATTTCCATAATTGATATCTGGTTTGTTGACATATTTGCAGTCAGTTATGGATTTATATGCGTCATTTGGCGCGAGAGCGTATCAATTTTATGACCATCAATTTCGTACGCTCCGCGCTACATACCACCTGCCCTGGAATCCGATGCATTCCAAATTGTGGCTGAAGGCTTCCACTGTGTACGCCACAAAAACCAATGTCCCAGTGGAAGCTAAAGGTTCTACCACTGCACGTGGTCAAAATTTAGTATGTTATGATTTCAATTCAGCCAAGGGGTGTAACCGCCCACTCTGTAAATACCCGCATGTGTGCAGATTATGTCTCCATAAACATCCTATGATGTCATGTTTTAGTAAACGTTCGTTGTTGTCGAATACACGGATTAATCCTCCTATGCCAGTTCCCACAAACCAACCTAGGGCTGCAACGTATATTAATTCGTCTAATACTCGGTATTCCTTTCGGAAAGGCAGTGCCTCGGCCAGCAAAAGTGCCCATCCCAATTTATCCCATTATACTATTTTCTGCCCTAGAAGGCTATAACCCAGGGGAGCGTGCCTTTTTGGTAGATGGTTTCACCAATGGATTTCGTATTCCACATACAGGCACACGAAATCTTTCTGTAGCAAGAAATCATTCTTCTTGTTCTCAGAATTACGATATATTATTTCAGAAAATAAATCATGAGTTGCTGCCTTATCGAGTTATGGGTCCATTTCTTGTCCCTCCTTTCCCAAATTTAATTTGTTTCCCAATAGGTGTTATTCCCAAACAAGAAAAGGGCGCGTTTTGATTAATCCATGATTTATCTTTTCCCTTACATAATTCGATTAATTCTAGTATTTCAGAGGAACATACCATGGTATCTTATGAAAGCATAGACGATGTGTTTGCCATAGTTAAACGAATGGGCCGGGAGCCTTAATGGCCAAATCGGATAGCCATTATGAGCTCCTTGGCTTTACAGTTTTGCTTAATCACCAATTAAATTGTATTTTGCTGATATGTGTTTACCTATGGGCTTAAGTATAAACTGCCAAACATTTGAACGTTTTAGTACTTTTCTCCAGTGGATTATGGAAACTTAATATGGTGCGGTCATGAGTCACATGATTGACGACTTTTTCTTTGTGGGTCCGACAAATTCTTCTAATTGCTTGGATTCTCCCAATACGTTTCTTTCGTCAGCAAAACATTTAATTATCCCCATTAAGGCCTCAAAAACTGTTTTACCTGCGACCACTTTGACCATTTATGGTATCGAGGTAGATTCGGAGTTAATGTTAATTCGATTACCAAATCACAAGTTAGTCAAGATTTGTGCGGCGGTTACGGCATTAAAGTCATGTCGTAAAGTCACGCCCGACAGTTGCAATCTGTGTTAGGTCTGCTTAATTTTGCTACCTTAGTGGTAGTACCTGGTCACGCCTTTCTGCGACGGTTATACGATTTAACCATAAATGTTGCAAAACCACATTATAAAATTCAGATCACAAATGCAGCGTGCCTTGAGCTTTTAGTTTGGTCCACTTTTTTGGATAAATTTTAATGGCCGTTGCTTGTTCTTGAATGATTGCTGGCTTGCCTCAGTTACGTTGAAACTGTTCACGGATGCAGCTACTTCAACCGGGTTTGCCGCAGTCTTCGGTTCCAAATGGTTCGCTTATTCTTGGCCTGATGCTATGAAACATCTGTCCATTAATGTGATGGAATTATTCCCTATCGTTTTGGCCCTCTTTTACAAAATCATAAACTATTAATACTTTCAGATAATCAATGTGTTACCTTTGTTATAAACAAAGCGTCGTCGAAATGTGCACACATCATGAAATTAATTAGACGCCTAGTTACTGCCACTATAACATTTAACATTTTCATTAGGGCCAAGCATATTGAAGGAAAAACAAATTTACTGTCTGATCGTCTGTCTCGTTTTCAATTTCAGACAGCCAGGAATTGGGCTCCATGGTTGGATCCGAAGCCTCAAGTCGTTTGCCACACCAAGTTAACACATTGTCTTCCTCGGCTCGCTGTTTGCTAGCTCACACATTGGCTCCGAGTTCTCGCTCATCTTACGCTCGAGCTTGGAATAAGTTTATTAATTTCTGTTCAGTGACAAATATCAATCCCAACTTGCCAGTTGCGCCCGTTGTCATCGTCAATTTTTTGGCGTCCTTATTTGAGAATGGTTTGGCGATAAGCACCATTTCGTTGCACGTCTCGGTTATTGCCTTTGTGCATAAATCCGTGGGTTTTCCTGACCCCTGCAATAATTTTTTGGTCCATAGCCTTTTGAAGGGAGCTAAACGGTTTACAACTTCAATTCCTGTGTCTCGGCTTCCTTTTGTTTGTTAAAACTTATCAATGCCATACTAATTGTATTTAGTTGTTGATCACAACAAATTTTGTTACAGGCTTTGTTTTCGCTAACTTTTGCAGGGATTTTTCCCCATCGCCGAATTAGTTGTTAAGACGCAGACGAATTTATCTCATGTGGTACAAATATACTATTCAAAAAAAGTAGGGGATATTTGATTTTGGGGGCATAATACTAAAATATGCAAATGACTATGAAAAAAGTCACTATAGAACCTAACAGAAGAAACATTTCCAGTTACATGTGACGCCCAAACGCACCAATAGCTACCGCATGGAATGCAGGTGATGCTTGGGATCATCATGGGGGTCCAACCCAAGATTTGCACGACTCTGACTTTGAATGTTACAGTCATTGTGGCATTGAATTCCAGGGTGGAAACATCAGTTTAATTGCTTTAGTGACCAGAAAACAAATTTTGATATGCGTCGGCTTACCCAAAATGAAAGGTTACATGCCCTTGGCATGCTACAGATCGGCACAACACAGACGGTTGTGGCGCGGACGATGAATGTTTCTCAGTCTGTCATAAGCAGGCTATGGTCCAGATACCGTGATACACAATCTGTACAGGACAGACCACGCTCAGGTCGACCAAGGGCGACAACTCAAGCCCAGGATCGATTTATCCGTACCTTGGCCTTGAGAAATCGTGTCATCACAGCAAATCAGATCAGCGCTCGTCTTCAAACATACACTGGTGTGAGAGTGAGTGGCCAGACAATTCGGAATCGACTGCATAGGGGTCACCTTCGCGCCCGACGTCCTCGCGTGATCCCTTGTTTGAGAGATCATCACATTCAGGCAAGACGTCGTTGGTGTAGGGATCGTCAACACTGGGATAATCGACGCTGGAGCAATGTGATGTTTTCAGATGAGTCAAGGTTCACTGTTGATTTTTTGGACAGACGTAGGAGGGTGTGGCGTCGTCGAAACGAGCGCTTCCAAGACGTTAACGTCATCAGACATGATCGATTTGGGGGTGGTTCTGTTATGGTGTGGGGAGGCATCACTGTGTCGGGAAGAACGGCTTTACATGTTGTTGCAGGGCGTGTTACAGGCCAGTACTACTGGGACAACATCTTGGCAGTCCATGTTGTGCCGTTCGCACGACGTCATGGCCGCCGTTTCATCTTCCAGGATGACAACGCAAGATGTCACAGGGCCAGGATCGTTACAGGTTACCTCCAACAACAGAACATCACCACATTACCTTGGCCAGCACTGAGTCCCGACCTCTCCCCCATCGAGCATGTCTGGGACATGCTTGGACAGAGGTTACGTCAACGTCAACAACGTCCTGCCAATGTCCAAGAACTTGCTGCTGCGTTGCAACAGGAATGGGACAATCTGGACCAAAATGACCTTAGACGTCTCATTAGGAGTATGCCACGTCGGATCAATGCTTGTTTGGCAAACAGAGGAGGATTTACCCGTTACTGACTTGGTTGTGATGCTGTGGTAACTTTGCTGTTTGACCCCGGGTATCATTTTACCCTTATAATGGTCAGTCTGTGCCTTACTTAGTCTAACGATCATTTGGAATAAATCGATGAATGTGAACTTCATTTCATTTTGTCATTTGTTTCTTCGTCAGTTTCATTAGGTGACTTTAATAACACTTAAAAATCAAATATCCCCTACTTTTTTTGAATAGTATATCTCACATTCAGTTCAGTTTCAACCAAAATAAATTAATTGCTTTGGAACTCTCACTGCATCATTTCAAACATCAGCCATCAATAGAACCAGTGTTATTGCATTTTAAATGTTCCTGTAGATCATTGGTTCAATCGTGTGCCCCCTGTTTATTGCTTAGGTATGTTCGTTCGTTCCCTCATTCTTCTGGCCTGCTGTTCCAATGGCATAATGGAACCTCGGTATCTTATCAGTTTGTCAACACTTCCCCAACCCGCTTAGTAGCATTCATTGGTTTAGACACCACTCGTGTTAAATTACATTCCTTCCGCATTGGCGCTGCAACTACAGCATTTTTAAACGGACAATCAGAAGCTCAAATCAGACTGTTTGGGCGGTGGCACAGTAACGCAGTACGTTCTTATATTCGCCTGTCCGTCCTCCAATTTTAGATCATAACGGAAATCCTTCCTTTAACAGGAGTCAATTGTTGTCAGTGTAGGCTGCTACAGTGTCCCCGTTTTTTTTGTTATCATGCTCATCCTTAGATCATTATATTAGTGTTATGGATTATATTGTGTTCTATCTTGTATACCACTTTTCATGCATAGTTGTTGGATCCCATTGTATTAGATTGTGAGTCATTATATATGTATCACAATGACATGTATTAGTAGGGCTAAGTTTGTAGGCCGTTTCAATTATTTCTTGTTTTTTAGCCTAGTGTGTTGTGTCTTGTTTTCTACCTTGTATATCATTTTGCATGCATAACTGAGTTCGTACTCATCCTTAAATCATTATATTAGTGTTATGGATTATATGTGACCCCCCATAGCATACTGAGTCACAATGAGGAAATTTTGAAAATTGAGTTATTGTTATTTTCACATTCTC